ATCGAAAGTTGAAAAATCGAAAAACTGAAAATCTAGTAGTACTCACTACGATAAGACTCATTTTGACAAATGATCTATTTTCTTAAGAAAACAAAGGGCGGGTGGGTGGGGCTAGCACTTGCCGAATAAATTACCCTCTAAGAAAATAAAAGGCGGGAGGGCCGGTTTAGTATAATACTCATTTTAGCCAATGACCTACTCTTCTAAGACAACAAAGAATAGGCCACCTGTCAAAATCTGTCTTATCTTCGTAAGTATGAGACAGATTTTTGCCAATGACATATCCTCTAAAAAAACAAGGGTGGATGGGCGGGGCTAGTACTTGTCAAGATGAGACTAATTTTGGCAAATGACATATTCTGTAAGAAAATAAGGGAGGGTGGGCGGGGGGCTAGTATTTGCCAAGATAAGACTGATTTTGGCAGATGACTTGTTCTTCTAAGAAAATAACGACTGGGTGGGACTTTTGAATATTTCATTTGATAATAATTTGTTTGACAATTTTGCAGTTTCAAATTCCAATTTTTTGACTTTTCAAGTTTTAACTTTACAATTTTTTTATTTCTAATTTTTCAACTTCTCAAGTTAAAATTTTTCCTTTTCGCGATTTGTCATTTTTCGATTTTTTAACTAAAAGAACAAATTTATTCGAACCGAAATTTTGAAAAATCGAAAAGTCCAAAAATTGAAAACTAGAAACAAACTTTTCAGATGTTTTAAAGTTTGGGTAAACATGGCAAATCGCTGATCAAAATTACTTTTTACTCCCTTCCCAAAACTCGCTGACAAAAAATCAAAAATCGAAAATTTAAAAAAATAAACATCTTTTCTCGATATTTTTAAAAATCAAATAATTGAAAAATCTGAAAACTGCCAAAATTGTAAAATTAAAACCTTGAAAGTTTTTTTCAGTTGCCCAGAGAAATCAAAAATCGAAAGACAGATCAAAAAATTGAAAATTTAAAAAGCGAGAAATTGATAAAATCGAAAGTTGAAAAATCGAAAAACTGAAAATCTAGTAGTACTCACTACGATAAGACTCATTTTGACAAATGATCTATTTTCTTAAGAAAACAAAGGGCGGGTGGGTGGGGCTAGCACTTGCCGAATAAATTACCCTCTAAGAAAATAAAAGGCGGGAGGGCCGGTTTAGTATAATACTCATTTTAGCCAATGACCTACTCTTCTAAGACAACAAAGAATAGGCCACCTGTCAAAATCTGTCTTATCTTCGTAAGTATGAGACAGATTTTTGCCAATGACATATCCTCTAAAAAAACAAGGGTGGATGGGCGGGGCTAGTACTTGTCAAGATGAGACTAATTTTGGCAAATGACATATTCTGTAAGAAAATAAGGGAGGGTGGGCGGGGGGCTAGTATTTGCCAAGATAAGACTGATTTTGGCAGATGACTTGTTCTTCTAAGAAAATAACGACTGGGTGGGACTTTTGAATATTTCATTTGATAATTTGTTTGACAATTTTGCAGTTTCAAATTCCAATTTTTTGACTTTTCAAGTTTTAACTTTACAATTTTTTAATTTTTTGATTTCTAATTTTTCAACTTCTCAAGTTAAAATTTTTCCTTTTCACGATTTGTCATTTTTCGAGTTTTTAACCAAAAGAACAAATTTATTCGGACCGAAATTTTGAAAAATCGAAAAGTACAAAAATTGAAAATTAGAAACAAAATTTTCAGATATTTTAAAGCGTGATATTTAAAGTTACTTTAAACATGGCCAATCGCTGATCAAAATTATTTTAACTCCCTTCTAAGAACTCGGTGATAAAAATCAAAAATCGAAAATTAAAATAAACATCTATTTTCCCTATATTTTTAAAAATCAAAAAATTGAAAAACTCCCAAAATTGTAAAACTAAAAAATCGAAAGTTTTTTTCAGTTGCCCAGAGAAATCAAAATTCGAAAAACAGATCAAAAAATTGAAAATTTAAAAAACGAGAAACTAAAAAATTCGAAAGTTGAAAAATCGAAAAACTGAAAATCTAGTAGTACTCACTATGATAAGACTGATTTTGGCAAATGATCTACTTTCTTAAGAAAGCAAAGGGCGGGTGGGTGGGGCTAGCACTTGCCGAATAACCTACTCTCTAAGAAAATAAAAGGTAAGAGGTCCGGTTTAGTAAAAGACTCATTTTAGCCAATGACCTACTCTTCTAAGACAATAAAGAATAGGTCACCTGTCAAAATTAATATTATCTTCGCAAGTATGAGACTGATTTTTGCCAATGACATATTCTCTAAGAAAACAAGGGTGGGTGGGCGGGGCTAGTACTTGTTAAAATAAGACTGATTTTGGAAGATAACTTATTCTGCTAAGAAAATAACGACTGGGTGGGACTTTTGAATATTTAATTTGATAATTTGTTTGAGAGTTTTACAGTTTTATATTCCAATTTTTTGATTTTTCAAGTTTTAACTTTACAATTGTTTAATTTTTTGATTTTTAATTTTTCTACTTCTCAAGTTAAAATGTTTCCTTTTCGCGATTTGTCATTTTTCGATTTTTTAACTAAAAGAACAAATTTATTCGAACCGAAATTTTGAAAAATCGAAAAGTTCAAAAACTGAAAATTAGAAACAAAATTTTCAGATGTTTTAAAGTTAGGGTAAACATGGCAAATCGCTGATCAAAATCACTTTTTACTCCCTTCCGAAAACTCGGTGACAAAAAAATCAAAAATCGAAAATTTAAAAAAAAACATCTATTTTCTCGATATTTTTAAAAATCAAATAATTGAGAAATCGGAAAACTTCATTTCTTCGACGACTTTAACCTTTTTTCCAGAATTAGCTAATTAATTCAGTGCATTGAAATATGTATCACAATTTTTAAAAATTTCAAAAAAGTAGGTGCATGTTTTCAAGTTCAGTTCGGATTGGAGAGTTTTTGTTCGGATTAAAGAGATATCGACTTCAACTAGCCTCTGTTCGGATAATCGTGGGTTATACTGTATTAATAGTATTAATATTGCTTTCGCATTCAAAGTGACAATAATAAATAAAATGAATCGAATACAGGATACAAATACCCAAACAATTGGTAAATAAATATGCGTGTGTTAAATACGCAAATGAAGTGAGATGCGTGGGTGTGCTTCAAAGTCAGGGATTTCAGGGCAATCACTTTTCAGTTTTTTTGTTTTCATCAGTTATTCGATAATACAAAAATACAGAAAGTTAATTTGGGATTATTTGACTCTTCATTCTTAAGGACATTTAATATATTTATCGAAATAAGAAAGTAAACAAAAATGCACATTGGTACATCTGCTACAGACAACTTTGCACGTGAGAGTTTATATTCTATTACAGAAGTGCACTTCGAGTTCGAATTCTACCAGAAATTGAATCAATAATACACAGTTCAAACACGCTGAACAAATTATCCCTTTGGAGATGATTTACGCTCAGTCCTCTTCAGTAATAAGTCAGGACTACATTTAAACGCTAGTTGTTATAGCCGGATCAACAGTTATTTTAATACTCATCGAACAAGCTATTAGCGCATAAAATTAAAAAAGCGGAAGAATTAATAATGGCGTTCTTACATAAAATTTTCTGTTTTAATTAAATTTGCTGAAATGGAAAGGATTTTTAAATTTATTTTGTTTTTTCTGTAATCCTTTTTCGTGCAAAATTCATAAACCACTTTTCTTGAAGAATCAATACATTTTTAACTTGTACTCAGTATAATAGTGTAACGTTTAGTAACTATGTTGAAAAGGTCATTAGTGGAAAGACGAAATAAAGTGGGTCCTAGAACTAGTCCTTGTTGAGCACTACATTTACAGTGTGCTTTTGGTAGAGCTTTTATTTTTTACTTTGAAGCGAGATATCGGTGAAAAAATAAATAAATTGCTTTATAAAACAACATAATCTGTAACAACAATCACTGCAGTTCATATACACTTTACAGGTGATCGTAACAGTTAATGTTAATTTATTCCACATCACATGCGAGGTAGCGATAAATATCGTTCCAGAAGACGGAGCTTTCCCACATTTGCGTTGAACGTAATGATGGTTTTCGAAAAGAGAAAAAAATGTAAAAACGGTTAATTAAAAATAAATTTGCCTTTTTCGGGTCACTCATTTAAAAACTTATAATAAAAATCGGAATTATAATCGTAAAGCAGAGGAAATTTAGCAGTGTCTTTTAAAATTTAAATTTTCTTTGAAAAGTGGTTCGTCTCTTTGTGGTGATCGTTTCGTCGAGAAGCAAATTTGTGCGAATCAAGACTGCAGCAAAAAAAAAGGAGTATTGATCGTTTGCATACACATGCAAGAAGCATAACCGAGTCCTGCACCGCTATTTGAGGAGCTTTCCCCGTTTTTGCTTCCACCTCAACAATTCTTGGCCTGCATCTCCCTCCTGTTTTTGTCCGTCGAAACTCCCTCGTAAGTCAGTAATTAATGAAGTTCGAAAACATGAGTCCGCATTCCGGCAATTCGCCGAAAGGATTCGTCTACTTCGGAAGTTGGCCTGTTTTTATTTAACTTGGCTCTACAATTTCATATTTCAGCCGACTCGCATGTAGCGCGGGATGAGGTTTTAATTTGCATACAAACTCCAAAAGTTTAAAGTTATCTTTCAACATTCGGAGAGCTCCACCATCTGCGAATCAAGCCGGTTCGTTTACCTGCTGTGTACTTTTTAATTATTTAAATGAATGTTTTATTCTTTTGCATTATACATGTCGCAGATGGATGAGCTCGGATGTGCGACTTTCGGCGTTATCCTGCCGTTATCCTGTAGTGTCGACGGCCGCCGCCAGGGGCGGCCCCTCAGGCGCAGGACGAGAGGAGCGCGCATCGACCCGGTGGGCCCGCTCCGATCGGCTCTTTCACAGTCTGACAGTGCGTTACGAGCTGTCCTGGGAAGCGGAGCCGCAGCTGCACCCACCAGATAAACAAACAATCGCGCCGACCGCGAGCTCTTCCGCGTTGCGAACCCCTGGCCCGAGTGACTGTGACTGTGCTTGCGCTTCTGCTTCTGGTGCTCCGCCATGGAACCGGCGAGGGTGTCGTGACCAGGACAAAACCACCATCACCGTGGCTGGTGAGTCTCGGTGTCCGAGGAGACCCGGAAGCGCGAGCGCGATCCCGCTGATTTAGTCGGGGGCGCTCTCTGACCGCACACGTGCTCCAGGGGTCTGTCGTAATCCCATTTTTGCAGGGCGGCTTTTAACTCCGCCACTGAGCGAGGGTGGCTTTTACTTCGCTTTGGACGAAATCGATTTCCAGTTCATATCAGAGAGGAACGATTGGCTTCGTGCCAAAACTCACTGACGGCACACCGAAATTTACTCCTTTCGTAATATGAGGGTTGTGTGTTTAATTTATTTCGCGGCTACATATTTAATTTCGACCGAGCGAGGGCTATTGTTTTTCGGCGCTCGGACGACTTTTTTCCCGCCAGGAACCCTTCCGGACGGGAAAAAATTTCATTAGTGCCGCCGGTAATTAATTATCGATGGAGACACCTCGCGGATCGTTTTTCTTTATCGGCCCGATTTTTCACGGGGTTTGGAACTTCCGGTTAACGCGGATAGACAGGACGAACGGCTAAAGTGCTAGAAAAATCGCCCGAGATAATTACTTCAGTAAACAACGAAATTGATGCGACTTAATTACTCGCTAAAGCCGGTTAAGCGTTCGCTAAACAAACGAGATGGCTTTTTCTTACCGAGACGTCGATAGATAGAGACGTTCTGGGCCTCAATGAGGTTTCTACGAACTTTGTTAAACATCGCAAACAAAAAATCCAATATAGAATTGTCGCTTTACAAAATCACAAATGTTCCCTACATCTTTAATAGAAACGTTTCTACTACTACACGTCGCCAAGAACATAATAAATCACTTCACTGCAGACTATTTGCTAATGTACTTTTACGTAAACGCATCAACTTCTATCCGTTTAACCTGGTCCCATAACCTGACGTAAGAGTATCTCCCGTTCAAGAAATAATGTTGCATAACACTACCATTTATAGAAAACGCGGCCCAGATTTGTCAGTTACACCTTACAAAAGTACTGACACGATCGGCAAAGACGTCTTAAGATTCGACGCCGACAGTGTTTTGCGATTTCACCAAAAACATGTTGTGGAGTTCTCCAAGGGTCAGACCTCGGCCTCCTGATCTTCCTCATCTTTCTCAGTGACTTACCGTCGCGTTTCGCTTAGTTCGAAGCCAAGAACAACCAAACACTGTTCCATCTATTGCCTTTGATAGTCTTAATCACCTGATGAGTCACAACTACCGCAAATTGAAGCGACAAAGCGGGGAAAGTTGACAATAGCGAGACGTGTAGTCCGCGGGCAAGAACCGGCGTCGCACATTTCCCGCAGTAGCTATTGCAATAATAGCACGAAATTATTTATTGATCTTTGCGTGTTTAATAATAGGAAGTAGTGATCCTTTGCTGCACGGCCGTTAATTATCGAGCAAAGCAATTGCATGTCGTGCCGCTAACATGTAATTATGATCAGGTATGTCGCCGATTAGGACAAAGCACCTCGACTGTGAATCAGTCGCCGAATCCTCTTCCCACAGAATTATCGTTTTGTGGATGTCGTAATCACCTACTCGAAGGTCTCCCGCCTTTCGTCATCCCGGTTTATCGCTTCCACGAAACGTCGTTAGAGTTTTAAGAGTCCTCAAACAATAATGAAAGACTTAACAGTTTCTGAAATTGTGTGCTTTGTGGATAATTGATTGATTGTGGAAGTTACGCAGTCATGAAAGCTCACTATTAATAAGTTTTCAATTTTGAGCGCACTTGCGGGTTCTCACCACTCCTTCGGCTACAATTTTTATGACTGGCCGATTATAAATAAGGTGAAAGCGTAGTTTCTGGGAATAGAAGTCACTTGGGGGTTCTCAACGTGTGTAATTGCCACTGATCGATTGTAAGATGGTCTGAAAATAGAATGCACACAAACGGTGGTAATGTCCGCTGCAATGCGCCAATTTCCGATATAGAATCTCGATTTAGTGCCTGTTTGGCGCAGGATCCAGTCATTAGGTCCCTCAGGCCGGTCTCCAACCTTGCCAGAGAGCACTAGTGACATATATTCAATTACGGGATCCTTGGCAGAGTCCTAAATAAATGAGACCATTTGTAAAGTCGTTTAGGTCTCGAAAGGACTGACTAACTCCGCTTCTATGAAAACCCTATTAGCTATAATTCCAGAGCTAAATTTTTTAGCGCAGAACTCCTTCCTCTAAGAATATTAATCGCACACTTAAGCCGCCGCTTCCGGTCCCGATGGAATCGGCGACCAATTTATGTGAAACTACACTCTAAAATAAAATCATTGATCTAGCCGTTCACGAGTGACCCATACCACCGCTTCCCACCGAGATAGTTTTCCCTAAGTTATTAATTTTTCTCAATTTTTTGCCGTTAAACTCCCATTAGCCGTAATTCCCGAGCTAAATTTTTTAGTTCGCCGCCTGCTAAAACGGAAAATTCTTTCCGTTAGTTTCCTTTGCTTAATAAGGACACGAAATGGGTCATTTCTCCGCATGCGACCCTCAAATCACGCACGCCGCACGATCCCCCGATAACCGCTGCACAGACTGCGGTTTTAGGAAAAATATGACAGAATGGATATTTTCACACCGGGCTATGAATCGCCGGAGGGGAGCTCTCAAAATAAATATTATCAGGAACGAGCTACAATGTTTTTAATTAGAACCGTCAAGTGGCCGCGCTTATCTCAACCGGTTTTCGTTTAAGGGAACAAATCTCTATTTACGATTACGAGGTACAAAAATGTTTCGGTTTTGGGCGGGCGCGATAAACTTTATCAAAACGCCACACAAGGCGCAGGCTAGTTAAAACATGGAGCGCCAAAAGAAACAGCTCGCAACAATCCAAACAATCCCCGGAATCGCCCAATTAAACAACGTAAACTCTCTTAATTATTTCGTTCGCCGGTGGACGGACTTCGCGCCGGGTGTGCAAAAAATGCATAACCGGGATTCTGCAGTCGATCGGGCTGTGAAATCAAAAATAGAAGGATATCCTTCCGGCGGACGGCGGATGTGCCGTATTTACGTTGGCACGGAGCAGGGGGGTTTGACCAGATATTTACGACGCAAAAACGGATTCCGGCGACGGCAAAACCCGCCATATTTCTACTTGCAAAAGGTACATTTTTTGATGCCAAAATTGGATTCGGGGCGAGATTTATGATTTTGTGCTTTGGACAGTAGTTTTTTGTGGTATATTTATCATCAATGAAATTATATTAGCTGAAATGGAAAATTAAATTATCGTTTGAACGTAAAAGAAAAGGAGTTAGTTTAAAGATGGAGCCTTGACGAACTCCCAAATTTGTTTCCTAAGAGATTCCTGTGCTAAAGCCACGAGTCCAAAGTCTTATTATATTTCCATTTTTCAAGGTTGCAGTATATATTGAGATGTCCGTAGAGAGCGAAGCGAGCTGTATTCATAACTGTTGTTTTTATTGCACTTACCCCAGACTGACCGTATTTCTATTTTTTCTAAACTCTGTGTGATATTGCTTCATTCAAAATGATTTCCTAAATATTATACTGTCAGATTTTTTCAACGACGAAGTGAGCTTTATCAGCTATTTAGAAAATGTTTACTTGAACCACGTAAACAAAACCACGCCATAAGAATAAAAAGGGACTTGTAATTGTGACGCTCTTTAACAGTCCAGACAAGCTTTATATTTCTATTTTTCGTGAAATATGTGTGATATTTCTTTGTCCAAATTACTCCCCAAGTATTTATACTGCGGGAGTTTTTCCGCGAGCGAAGCGAGCTGTATCCGGTATTTTGTAATTGTTTACTTGAAAAATATGAATGAAACCATGGAAAGGGCGCTTAATTTATCGTCTTTTAACAGTTCATACTAGCTGTATTTCTATTTTTTGTGGAATCTGTGTGATATTTCTTCGTCCAAATTATTTTCAAAATATTTATACTCCCGAGACTTTTTCAGCGAGCGAAGCGAGCTGTATCACGTATTTTACAAATTTTTAGTTGAATCATATAAATGAAACCATGGAAAAGACGTTTAATTTTATCGTCTTTTTACAGTTCAAACTAACTATTTCCCGTGAAATTTGTGTGATATTTGTTGGTCCAAATTGTTTCCTAAATATTTATACAGAGAGGTTTTTTAGCGAGCGAAGCGAGCTGTATTAGGGTATTTAGAAAATGGCATGAGAATAAAAACGTTTGCTTAATTTTGTCGCCCTTTAATAAATCGGGGTGGCTGGATTTCTATTTTTTAGTATCTGTGATATTTCATCGTCCAAATTATTTTATAAGTACTACAATCATTTTCGAAGATTATTTTAGCGAGCGGAGCGAGCTGTCATTTCGAATATAAAACTTATTAAAAAAAAAACTGATAAAGCTGCAGTTTTTATGTTTACTTGTTTTATGACATTTCTTTATTCAAATCATTTGCTAAATATTTATATTGTTTTTGTTAATAATACTGCAACTATTCCCTAAGATTTTTAGCAAATTAATGTTTTTTAAGTAATTTGAAAGTGTCTCAGTGATCTTTCTGTCTTGAAGTAATTTGAAAGAATTTCGGGGACTCCTTATGTTATATTTTTGAAGTACATAGTATGAAAGGGTCTCGGCAACCCTTTGTGTGTGGTTTTAAAGTAGTAGAATTTGGAGGACCCGTTGTGGGTCTTGTTTTTGAAGTAATTTGAAAGAAACTCGGGGACTTCTTGTGTTTTCTTTTTGAAGTACATTGTTTTAAAGAATCTCGGGAACCCTTAGTGTCTGGTTTTTGAAGTGATTTGACAGAATCTTGCAGTTGCTTCTTTTTTGTGTTTGGAGTAGTTGTAAATTAATGCTGGAGACCCGTTGTGGGTCTTGTTTTTGAAGTAATTTGAAAGAATTTCGGGGACCCCTTGTGTTTAGTTTTTGAAGTAATTTGAGAGAATCTAAGGGATCCCATGTCTCGTTTTTTAAGTAATTTGAAAGAAATTCGTGGACTTCTTGTGTTTTATTATTGAAGTACACAGTTATAAAGAATCTCGGGAACCTTTAAT